AAAATGCCCGACCAATCTAAGTTAATCAAAAGTAACGTTGAAATCCCTCTAAGCAATAAATTCAACAATTTACCCAAACATTTTGCAGATAATAACGAAAATGTTAAGGAAACAGAAATTATTGATGTTGTCGGGGGTCCAAAAATTAAGCCCATAATGGCTAAGCTTGATATCAAGTACTCAGAATTTCTGAAAAAACAATTAGACAGGAAACTGAATTAAACTTCGCGAGTAAGGTTTAGGGAGAATTCCTGAAAATCTTCACTAAAACTGAAGATGATCACAGAGGTATCACTAATTATTTAGACCAACTAAAAGTGGATCACTGCCTCATTACAAAGAATTATGAACGACCAGTAAAGGTAGTCGTAAGAGGTCTTCCGATAGATTGTCCCATTGATGACATTTGCGATGAACTACTATTTAATTTAGGATTTAAAGTAATGAAGATAATCCAAATGCACAGACTAAAGACTAAGGAGCCCATGCCACTATTTCAAATCCAACCAGAAAATGTTCCAGGGGTAGAAAAAATTTATGGAATGAAATATCTGTTACCTTTTCTGTGTAGAATTTGTCGAATATAAAGTGAATGGAAGTGTTGTGCAGTGTTATAACTGCCAGCACTTCCATCACAATTCGGATACTTGCAAACTCAGACCGCGTTGCGTCAAGTGCGCTTGGCGATCGTAAGACTTCTGAATGCATAGCTAAGAGACTTGATGCAGCAAATTGTTGGAAGACTGTTTGGACAGACCGCCAATTTCAGGGGTTGTTCCAAGTTTCCCTAAACATAGCAAAAACAATGCTATCTTCAATCGAATAATGAAAAAAAATGGCAATACGAAAGCCCATAGAAACTAAATATTCTCAGGTCACTAACCCCATAACTTATGCAAGACATTACCTCAGGATACTGGCAGCTAAGGCTAAGTCGACACTGTCATCGGGAAAACCAAGTTAGGATATCCTGAGGATGTTGATTCTCAGATATCCTGAGGACTTCTTAAATCAACATCCTGAGGATATCCTATTCAAGTCTCATTATTCCGGGATATAAGAAGATCTCCTCAGGATGTTGATTTTAAGATATCCCGAGGACTTCGTAAATCAACGTCTGAAGGATGTCCTGTTCAAGTCGTAATGTCCCGGGATATATGAAGATCTGAGGATGTTGTTTCTCGGATATCTTCAGTACTTAATCAAGAATCGAAATCTTACCCTATGGATTACTATTCTGCATATGAAAAATTTAATTGTTATGCTTACACTTATTTTTATCTTGTATATGTTGGCTGTAAGTAATAATATTTTCAAATTTTTGTTGTTGTTTCACAGTGATCAGAGCACTTTCTTACAAATTATAGGCACGTGTTTTCAGCCGTTTTGAGTTTCATATTGAAAGTGTGTTTAAGATTAAATTCTAATTGCTACATAATATATTTTGTAAACACTATTATAGATATTTTGCTAATGTCTTTGAACCCAAATACTATTTACGTTACAGATTTGCTCAGAAAATCTTTCACGAAGACCTATATCCTATGAGCAGATGGGCATGATGGGCATGATGGGCATGATGTACTATGCTTTAAGTAAATAATCCTTCAGGCTGCAGAGAATGAAACCGCTAAACTCTAGTAGTTCGACAGGATTCAGATCCTGGGGAACGAACAGGCTGCGTGAGATTTTTCATGTTTTTCCCATTTTTTATTGATTGGCGTATAAAAGAGCCAATCTCTCTTAAAAAAGCAAATTCGTTAGTAAAGACATTACTTTCCCTTGTTAGATTGCCTCGAGTGCTTTGCCACAGATCCTTAAATCAGGCTAATATTTTTTTTTTTAATTTCCAATGGCTGGCACTAGCCGTTAGAGGCAAAGAACATTACTAAGCCCGGAAGTGGTGGTCACTTTATTATGAGGGTAACAAGATGGGCCATCGTTGCCTCCTATGAGGGTACAGACAATTTACATCCGTGCCTTATCTGGCATTCGAACTTGGGCTCTTCTGTACGGCAATCAGTCACTAACCACTTACCCGTCTCTGCGGCACTAATCTGAAATAATGTAGCATTAAGTTGCTTGAGAATATGGCGCAATTCGGGATATTAAGGCATGCCTGAACCCTACACTTACTAAATCAAGTTATAAAAGTATTCTATTAAATTCATCCAAGATTTTAGAGCAAAACTTATTGCTGAAAGGATTTAGAATCAAAAATAGTTCCATTAGCTAGGTTTTAGCATAGAAATAACTACACTTTAAAACTGCAAAAGAAAAAAAAATACTTTTTGATCTCTTACACTATTATATTAGTAATGAAAAATTTTTTTAACAAACGAAATTTTAGTTTACCGACGCAGTTAAAAACTAGTCTGTACGAGGTTTAACTTGCTTTAATTTGAACTTATAAATAGAAGAATAATTTTATTGGGCATAATTTATTGCAGAATAATTTCATTGCAGTTTCTTTGTTCATTTTCTGTTAAGTTCTTTAATAATGAGAATTAGTCTTTTAAAGCGACTGAGGTAAGAAGTAACTTATTTTTCCTCTCTGTAGTAGGAACAACGAGATAGTATACTGGTAGAGAGCGTATTGCAACCTTCAACCGGTTCCAACATTAGTGTCACGTGACTGCTGCGCGAATTCCGAAAGTCCGGAAATACTTTACATTGCTTTCTATGGGACGAAAGACTGCTGCTCTGCTTGGTCACATAAAATTTAAGAAAAAATGGTTATTCGCTGCAGCGCCTACGGATGTAAAGAAAGTTTAGTGAAAGGAGGACTTGTAACTTTTCATAGGTAAGTTAAAACTGCATGATTTATTATTTTATTTTCAGTATTTTTGTCATTTTACTATCTCTGTTAAATTGGTTGGAAAGTTTCAGCCATATTGTATAAGAAAACTGCCGCCGTATATGACATTTTCAGCATGTATTATTAGCATCAAAATGTATTAAATACTGTGACACTATTTACTGGAATCTCCCTTTACAAATAATTGAATTTTATATGTTTTTTCCGTGTATTCCGTTGAAATAGAAAGCTGCGCCAATTGGCGTTAACCTTTTTTCGCCAAGTCGTACGCGTTTTGATTTCATAAACAATTACTGCCTGCGATAAAAAAAGAAAAATGCTATTATTTGCATTAAATTATTGAGAAAAGATTGTGCGATATGTTTACTTTGTTAAAAAAAAAGCTGAAGATCTTGATTCATGCAACATTGAACATAAAGATTTAAACAGCATTATTTTAAAAATCAGATTACTTTTATAAAGCTCAATGCTTTATCATTATTTTCTATAAAATCAATTAAAATAAAAATAATCTGGATTATAATTCTGGGTAAAATCCTAGTACACGGTGCAGCCTTGGCGCGACTTTGAAAATTATCATCAACACCAAAAATGATCCAAAGAACGTCTATATATATATATACTATACACTATATACTATGTGTGTATATAACATAGCATATATACTATATACATAGTATATACTAAGTTTAACTATATATTTTCTTTGAATGACCCGTTAACTACTCATCGCAATGTCCGGTTTTTACTGCTCATCATAAAGTCTCCAAAAGTAGCCAAATCCCGTGTGCACCGGATACTAGGATTAAACCTATTTCTGTCTCATCTACGATGCTGTTAGAAATTTATTGTAATTGAAAAAATGTGATGTGAAAAACTTACCATATTTTAAATAGTATTAAAAAAAAAAAAAAAAAAAAAAAAAGGAGAGTGAGAGAATTTTTAACTGTAATATCGTTTTGATCCTAATAATAAATACTGAGTTGAAGTTTGTTACCGTTGGATGCATATTCAATATAAAATATTTGTTATAGTTAATAAGATGTATTGATCCCCGCCATGACATACACATGAGTGTGGAAATCAGTAATTAAGATTGCATTATTTTGTTCCCAGTAATATAATCTCAAGAAAAGAGAGTGCATTATTTTGTTCCAGTAATATATCTCAAAAAGAGAGGCAATCAATGGCATAAATACATATAATACAATGTGATTTTCTTTTTCTCTTTAGGATGCAATGCATTAAAATTAAACGAGATTTTTTTTACCTTCTCAAATATTATAACAGTAGTGCAATTAATTTTTTAACGTTATTCAAAATTAAAGTTTCCATCTCAATTTTTTATTATTTATTTAGATTTTCTTCCTAAAATTTAACCTAAACATCTTAAACAATGGTGCAAATAATTTAAAGCGATTATTAAAAATAGATAAAATATTCAGGAAATAGGGTTTTTAAGTTATATCCAAATATAATTGTAAAAAATCGAACAACCTAATTCGAGGCCGTTGTCTGCTGACTGCTAGCAGACGGAAATAAAAAGCACTACCTGCCATATCAAAAGCGGGCCAAACTAGCGATGAACAGCCTAAGCTATCACTCCCCAAGAGCGTCAAGAGCATTATTCACGTGGTATATGTTGGAGACACCCTAGCAGACGAATTCTCTGTGGGTGAGCCGTCTACCTGTTATATGAAGTCGTTGAGTAGGAAAATGAGGTTTAAGAATGGGAAGAAGTAACATTAAATTCTTACTCTCCTCAAACCTCACTTTGCTACCTCTTTAACCATACAAATATTCGGTCTTTGCTAAACAAAGCGCGAAAAAAATATATTCAGCGCTCTCCAATCTTATACGTTATGCCAGCAATGCTACATGATTCCTCATAATTTAACAATAATTACTGCTTTATTAATATATTTGTAACATCCAGAAAATGCAAGAAAAACGTTTCTTCAAGGTATATAACTCAAAGTTAAATATTGTTATGAAAACTCAAAATTAGATAACGGATTAAATAGATGTTCAAATCCATGAAACCGTTTCGCCCTAAAAAAAGGTTTTGCATGCACGGCCTGAGAAAAGTTTAGTCTTTTATTTGCGGGCAGAAAGACTTAAGTTGGCCTTGCTGAAATAAAATTTGAAAACGTTGTTTCTTTTGGTGTTTAGGTCGGTATATAGTGGCTCTTGCTCTTAATATAATGCAGTAAATATCATATACCTTACTGATAATATATAATTCATATTTACTAAGAAATATGTGTTTGCTTAAGACAGAGAAAATAGTTTTGAATCCTCCCCGAACATGCTACCACAATACTCGTACCTTTCAACCATGTAGATAAGATTTATTAATCAGTAATATTATTTTAAGAACTGGGAATTCGCATTAATACTGAAACGCTTTATATTTCATGTATGCGTGTCATTGTACCAGACATTTAAAATTTGAATGCGTAGATGATGGTAAGTGTAGTTTTGCTTTAATTTATGAAACTTGATATATAGTTTCGCATAGGAGTTTCAAATACAGATTCCGGAATGAGCTATCGTGTATTAAATAGATTTTCAACCTTCGCCATGTATGTACAGGCTTTCATTACACGAGTTATGGGGGGAAAATATGTAAAACCTAACATTAACCTTTTAATCTTTTGATTTGATAAAAAATCGCAAGAATTATAACATTTATTAAAGGAAAATTCTGATATAATTCATTTTCTCTAATTTTTATGTTTTAGAATTATAAATTGGAAAAATAACATTGGCTTTGTAAATTGAAAGCTAAATTGTTTTCCAGCAAAATTGCCATAAATCATCGAAACTATATGGCTGATTGTTAGTAATAATACTAAGAGAGAAATTTCATATGTATATGAAATCTAATAAAGATTATCAATTGGAAAAAATCAAAACAAAAAGAAATTGAATATTTAATTTTTGATATAATCAGTATAAAAAAGTCTAAATCTTACCTTCCCTACATTTGACCATTTCTACCTGACTTATAGAACTTCCTGCTATGTGGATATGTCCTGTATTGCATATTTTCAGTGCTGACATATATAAACTCATGCAATTTTATCTTCCATGAGATCTCAAAGTAAAATTTTCTTTAGTTAATTAAAATTTTTCCTTTTCTTCCTTTCTGTTTGTTCTAAATGGAATTAACTGTAAAATTGCTTAAGATGCATAAAAGTTTCAGCTGCATTCTGTGCGAGTAAATTGATTAACGGGTAAAAAATCTTTTTTTTTTTTTTCCTTTTCTCTTTTTCTTTCTTCCCCCCCTCCTAAATTCTTTGCTTTGAGGATGACATATTATTATGAGAACTGAATTAGATGTTTTCTGAATTTTTGACACAAAGATGTTAGAAAGTTCACTGTCATAGATGTCAGATAATGAAAGGTAATATAAGAAATATATTATAAGTTAAACATTGAGAAAGATGGAGGAGAAGAATTATTGCAAGATATGTGATGAAAATGGTGCAAGTCATATAAATTTAAAAGTCTTTTGGCGGCTCTGTTTGTTATTTTCTAAAGAATTTATAAGGAATATTTCCAGCAGTAAGAATAACATTGTTGAGAGGAATTCATTAGTACCGTAGTTTACTGACTGGTTTACAGCTGCCAGAATTATAAGCAAATCAATGGAAGATCATTTTTTATGTGTTTGGTAATACTGAAGGCTAAGGATTATGGATTTCTTTCCTTTAAAAATACAGGTAACCCTAGTATAACACGGTAGATAGGTTCCTAGAAAATGCCATGTTGTATAAGACCCAGAGGCAGTATAAAAAGGTAGTTATGTTCCAAAAACTTATTAAAAATAAATACTTTTTTAATTGCACATAATTAACTTATATTTTATTAAAAATATATATTTATGTATAACACAAAACAAAAAATATTGCATATTTTAATTTAATGCAAATTTAGTTTAATAAATTTCTTCTTTGTCATTGCTCAGTATAATTAACAGAGAACATTTTTTCAATAGAATGAGATCGCTTTCACTTTCAGAATTTCTTTCTTCATTTAAAGTTCTGGCATTTTCTTCCCTCTTTAAAAAAATTGTAATTTTACTTTGCTTGCTAGTTCTTACCAGGTCATTTTAAATTTCTCGATATAGAGCTAGAAAGTTTTGCAGCTCCCTTTTGAATTTTCGGCTTATTTCAGCAGAAGGGTCTGCATTCAAGAAAAATGACTGGGGATTTTCGGCTAAGCTTAGGCCTTTTAATTATTAACTGCACAGTCTTCATCAGTGCTAGTGTCCTCAGAATCGATTTGATTTACAGCTTCGGATGACATTTCCATAAAGTCTGCTTCATCAATTTCTTCTTCCACTAATAAATCTTGAATGTCCTCATTAGCCATATCCAGAAAACCAGAAAATCTACAATATCCAGAAAACCTTAGCTTCATTGACTTAGCCAAGTTCATAATATGCCACCAATTTCATTTTCTGATGATTCATGCACGTTTTGTATTTCAAATGAAGAGGTCCATATCTTCTTCTCAAATCTGTTTGAATTAAAAGGGCAATGATTCTTTGCTATCGGGAGAATCTTGGAGTATCAAATTTTTTAACTGTCAGTTTTGCCTATTTTTTTCTGATTTAGCAGGAAAAAAGTTTATACTTGATCAGTTACTAGTAATTCAACTTCTGTTATAGAGTCCGGAGAGCTTTAATTCTTTTGAACGAATGTGGTATTTCCAAAGGTGTAGACAGTCAGTTTTTATTTCCTTACGACTTTGATGTTTTATTTGTTAGCCAACTCGCAAGTTCAAAAATTTTTCATACTCTGGCAAACACTGTTTCCTTAGCTGTTTTAACTTTTAGCATGCAAGTCTGTAAGATTATTATGTTATTTATACTTTGTGAAATGGCTGGAATAGTTTCTTCATTCTGTTGTTTGGTTTGTGTATCATTTTTCAAAAGTGATGAAATATCCTTTTTGCCAGTCACTGTATTTTTAACTGTTGAATTGGATTTAAAACATACAGCTTCCTAATGTTTACAGATTTTGATTTTTCACTGGTGGCATTCCAGAATTCTGTGTTTAGGTGCAAGGCACAAGAAATAACATGCCTGATGTTTCAAAATATCTCTCTTCTAATCAGCTGTAAATACTGTACCCTATTATGAGCCATGATTTTGTGAACAAACAAACAAAATGCAGTTTCGATTTCATGTGATGGCTGCCATAAATTCATGTGTGGTGACAGCATGTTTTTGTTTCGCCTTTGATGGGATATCTGCTAATACTCATCAGTTCTGCTTTTGGTTTGCATGTAAAAGATAAACAACCAATTTTTCTCGTGCTATTCTGTCTCTAATCGAAAGAAGTTTAGAAATTTGTTTAAATCATAGGTTGGAGAATTTCCATTACTCATATGATGAAATTCTAAAGTTATATTGTTCGGAACGGTTTCATCAAAATTGGAGTAAACATGTTGGAATATGTTTCTGGTTTCACATCAAATGCTAAGAATTTTTAAGTTATTTTGACTGAATCTATTTATAAGAATGTCTATGGCTGAATCGTAATTAGTCTCTGAAATTAAGAGACCAGTGACAGCTGGCTCTGTATACCCACATAAATAGATTTTCAAAAACCTGAATTTTTCAAGTTTGAAAGTTTAATGTAATCATGAATTATACTTCTAATGATTTTTAAAAGTTCATTGATCAGTATAAGTCTGTAAAATTTTCAAATTAAAACTAATATGGATAATATCATATTACCTATAATCCATCTTTTGATTTCAGTTTCCATGGATGAATTAATTGAATTGTGTTTGACGTTTTGAGTTTTGACTTTTTAAAATAACACTTTCATTTTTGACTTCTACACTGCTGGCCACCGTAAATGCAACACCCTGAAGGTTAGGTTAGGTTATTTAATTATGGCAAAGCCTCGAGGGCTATCTGCCTAAGGGGAGGGATGCCTTCGTGGAGGACTTTCTAAGGGAAACTTGCTCGTATGCGCGTTACACATGGGAAAAACCCACGAAAACACCCATGCAGCCAGCCCGTTCGCGGGATTCAAACCTTGGACTGAACTACCAGTGTTCAGCGACTTTACTGCTCGGCCGCTGGTGGGCCCAAACAAAACAACAACACCCTGAAGGAAGCATGCAAATAACATTAAATTTACAACATACATTAGCGGAAATGAGATATGCAAATGATTAGAATTTCAGCGCAGATGAATATCACACGCGCCAAAGCACTATTTAAGGCTTGGAGTTTTTGACGATTTCAAGTTCGGCATTGCGATTTTTTTTCAAAAAAAAAAAAAAAAAATCAATTATGCCTTGTAATAACAGCAATCATCGTTTGATCAATATCCGAGTTCAACAGAGGAAGGATAGTGGCCTACCGAGAGTGTGGATTATCTCCAGGGAATCGTTGTCATGTTGGATGAAACCAAACAACTGTAATGCGGATATGTGACTGTTGGATGCAGGAGGGAACGACGTGTTCGATCGCATCCACCTCCAGTGCGCCACTTCACGTGATGACAGGAACATTGTGCGCATGTCAGTGACAGATCACTCGGTCACATCACGAAACATAGCACAGCACATTCAGTCTGTAACGCATCATCCAGTGTCTGCATGTACCATTCGACGCCATTTACAGCAGTGTTGTCTGTCTGCAAGACGTCCATTGCTTCGTCTACCCTTGACGTCTCCACAAACACAAGAACCACAGATGTCTCTGCTGCCAATGGTGCGATGAAAGAAGGATGTGGACGGCAGAATGGAATAAAATTGTCTTTACTGATAAGTCACGCTTCTGTCTGCAACACGACGATGATCGGATTCGAGTCTGGAAACACTGTGAAGAGAGGATGCTGAACAGCTGCATTATGCACTGCCACACTGGTTCTGCACCGGGTATTATGGTATGGGGCGGTATTGGATATCACTCTCGCACTCCTCTATGCATTGCCGGTACTTTAAACAGCAGCACTACATCTCGAAGGTGTTGGAGCCAGTTGTCCTTCCTTACCTTCAGGGCTTGCCCACAGCCATATTTGAACAAGATAATGCACGACCTTACGTGGCACGCATTGTCCAAGGGTTCTTTGTCAATTGCCAGATTGAATTGCTTCCCTGGCCGGCTCGCTCTCTGGATCTTTCGCCGATAGAAAACATGTGGTCCATGGTTGCTGAACGATTGACCCAGATTACAGCCCAAGCTGCCACACCAGATAAACTTTGGCAACATGTGGAAGCTGCTTGGTCTGCTGTACCCCAAGAACACATAAAAAAGGTCTCTGAATCAATGCTGAGGCATGTGGCAGCAATGATTTGCAACAATGGCGGCTACTGATTCTGAAAGGAAGCACGCTTCGTAGAAGTCTATAAATTTAATCATTTGATACCTGGTCAACATGTTATCTACTAAATAAATTTTGTTGTAATATCTCTTGTCTTTCTTGGTGTTGCAATTTGGGGTGGCCAGCAGTGTATTTAAACAATATCATTCCAAACAATTTTCTAACTCTTTTTGTTTTTCTTCTAAATATTCATCTACATTTTTAATAATTTCTGTTGCAGAAGTACGTAGATGTGCTTGTGTTTTATTCAGCCTCTTCTGTTCTGCTTTAATAAACTATCAAAAGAGACTTACTGTTTTTGCTGTCTTTGCACAAAGTTCTAATCCAACATTCGAAATACAAATTTACAATATGTTGACAGCCAGATGTACCAAATGTAGGTGTTTCAAAATCTATCAGAATCAAAGAATTAGGTTTGTTGCATAGAAGATTTTTCATCTTTTAATTAAAATGTAAATAATTATATATTCATTTATATATATAAGGTAAGCTAAAGTCTAAATCCAATTACTTACCTTAAAATGTGGGACCACACTAGTTCCATCTAATATTTCTAACATTCAATTATACTGTGTACTTCAGTCTAATTCTAAACTAAAGAAGACTGAATCATCAATTTTGACATAGTCACATGTCCAGAAGGACTTGTAACACCATATTTTGGCAATATTAACAAAATATTTCTCTAGATAATAATAAAAAGGCTCTCAAAATTTACAAATATCTAATAAAATAAGGAGAATCTTTTATAAACACACACTTTGGGGGAAGTAAGGGTGGTTTCGAGAATTTAAAAAGCATTTTCCAATTCATGACATGAGAATTCAAGGGAAATCTGCCTCAGCTGATTGTGAAGGTAACAAATATACCTACTAGATAAAATTAGGTTAATTGACGTGTGAGGGATATACTCCATATCAAGTTTTTAATGCTGTGAGATTAGGCTTTGGTGGGAAAAAATGGCTTTGTATCAAAAAAGAAGAAAAACATAAATAGTACCTGATTTTAAGGGTTTGAGTAAAAACACCATACCAGCACACTGGAGAGCAAACTCAAAAACTTAGGTGAAGGAAATTTATTAGCTGTTTTTATCCAAGAGTTAAAAATTATTTAAAGCAAAAAAATATGAATTTCAAGGCTATTACTACTAGATAGCACTCCAGGTCACCCACTGATTGAACACATCCCAATGTTACAGTAGAGTTCCTACCATCAAATTCTACTTCGTTGATTTAACCCTTAGATCAGTGGTATTATTTATGTCTTTCAAACAGTCTACATAAGAGGATCATTCAGTGAATTTTAGTCACAATTGATTCAAACCAACTGATGTAATGAAAGCTCGAAACTAGTTTTTGGTTAAAATTTGTATCAAAATCGTATGACTTTTTGTAAAAGAACTAAAAAAAGTCAACTTTAAATGCATGTTGAACATAATATGGCCAACATCTGTTGAGAGCGTGCTTAAATACTTTGATATCAGGATTCGGGAGCTATCCGAATGTGCTAAATCAATCAGATACAAAGGTTTTGTGGGTACGACTATTGAGAACGACCAGGAATTATTATTATGGAAGCACAGTGGATATAGCAGAATCAGTGAAGTGGATAAAGTGGGAAGGCATTTGAAATTATAACTAAATCTATTCTAAAAACAGCAACTGCGATGAAATTTTGTGAGTTACTAATTTTAGTCTAAAAAAAAATTGAAGTATTATCTTAATGAAAAATCTTGAAGACTCATTTTTCTTGACTGAAGACCCTTGTGCCAAAAGAAGCTGAAAATTGGAAGTTGGAAAATGCCTATCTCCAGACAATGAGATTTAGTACAAAGTGAAAAGGCCAGCAAGCAGACAAAAAATAGCAGATTTTCTAGTGACGGCAGAGATACAAAAAGTCCTTATGAAAAAATGGATTCAGAAAGTGATATCATTTGACTTAAAAAATGCTGTTGCCACATTGTGCTGAACACTGATCAAGAGAAATTAAATAAAATAAACTTGAATTAAATGCGAATGGAAATTTTTGGTTTACATATGTTTTTGTTTCACTCATGTGTATAGTTTAAATAAAAATTGTTGAATTGAAAAAAAGATTGTTTTTTAAGAGTATTTGGAATGCATTTTTCATTTTGTATTGGTTGTTAGTCTCATAAAACACTATTTCATACAATATGGTGTTTTCTAGGAACCTATCTACTCTGTTCTAGGAGTGATACAGTGAAGATATCTTCTAGTAAAATAGGATTAAAAAACCATAGCGTTCCTTGGCTTATCTTCACTAGCAGAATTATGACAAGCTGAAGAATTATAAAAATAATTAAACATGTTGGGCAGTGCAGAATAATGATTTTATGAGAATAATATGAATACACCTATTAAAATTACAAGTTATCAAATTTTGAATCTATTTAAATTATAATCAGAAATATTAGCTTTGTTTTGTGAATTTTTCTTTTTTTTCAGTAGGTATGGATCATGAGTTTCTTTGTTGGAAGATTCCTGAGAGAAACTATCATAATTAAGGAAGAGAAGGTGCATTGTAGAAGTAAAATGGTTTGCAAGAACTCAGAGATGGAATGATTAAAAGTTAACTAATTTTTTATTTTCTAATTAGAAGTTTTGTTTTCTTTTAAATTTTCTCAGTTTAATATGTTGCTGGCACATACTTTTGAAGAAAATTTTAATTTCTCCTCAGTAAATTCTACTGAAGCATTTGAGAAGGAACTTTTTATAGAGAACAAAAATTTATCCTCCAAAAGTCCTAATGAAATCAACAGTTCTAGATGTCTTGTAGATAAAACTACAGTCAGTTTAACAGATAACAAGAGGAAAGTTATTAAACTGTCAAGAGAGCATGCTTGTGTTAGAATACAAAAGTGCATTGCGTACCTATACAATTATTTTGAAATGAAATTAGACTGTGATCTCATGAGAGTTGTGCTTCATGTCTTAAAAGATTCTAGATCATATTTCTGCAGTTTGTCTCAATATAATCAAATTTATTTTATAAAAGAATGCTTTCATCCTTTTCTGGAAGTTAGTGGTAAAATATCAGAATATTCTTCTGTTAAATTTCAAGATTGCAAATTGGAGAAAGAAGAAAAAAATTTAGTATTTATTGCATACATTTTGATTTATGCAAAGGAAATGCATTTTTTAAAAATATTTGAATGTTTTGAAGAATATGGTGCACCAACTCCAAATCCTCATTTGAGCACGTCAAAAAAATTCGCTTACTTCCGGAATAGAAAGTCATATTTTTATATTGGAAATGATGGCTATGTTTCCTTAAATAGCATTTCAGAATTAATAATGTTAAATAATCCTAATTTTTCTTATTGGGTAAATACAGCATGTACAAGTATTTCAAAAATTCCTGAACTTTGTTCTGTACCATATTCTGGAAAGTCTAAACAGATATGTTCTGCAAGGACTAAAAAATTATTATTCGAAAATCATAATGAAATAGACAGTTCTGATTGTCTTCTAGATAAGACTGAAGTTAGTCTAATTGGTAATAATGCAGGAATTGGTAACTTATCAAGGGAGTATGCATGTGGAAGAATACATGCATGCATTGCATATCTCTATAAATATTTTGAAATTGAATTAGATAGTCTTCTTTTAAGAGTTGTACTTCATATTTTAGAAGATTGTAAATTATATTTCTGTAATTTGCCTGAATTTGATCAAGTTTGTTTCATTGAAGACTGCTTTCATAATTTTATAAGAAATGAGAAAAAAGTTTTAGAATATTTTTCTGTTAAAGGACGAGACTGCAAATTGAGTAGAGAAGAAAAAAATTTGGTTTTTATTGCATATATTTTAACATATGCGAAGGAAATGCATTTTTTAAAAATATTTGGTTGTTTTGAAGAATATGGGGCTGCATCTCCAAATCCTCATTTAAACGAATCTGGAAAATTCAGTTACTTCCGGAATAGGAAAAAATATTTTCATATTGGGAATGATGGCTATGTCATCTTAAATGATGTTTCTGAACTGAATGTTTTAAATTCTATCAAAGTTTCTAATTTTTTTGATTCATCATGTAAAAGAAACCCTCCTGTTTCTCCCGTTGATTCAGGTACTTGTTTGAGCCCTGTATCTTGTGAGCAAGAAGAAAAACAATTTTTCTCAACAAATATATCTCTATCAATAGCTGAAAATATTACAGATTTATGTGTAAAAATTCTTTCAAATTCTAATCAAATGCACTTTGAAAAAATATGCAAAATATTGACATGTAATGGGTCTGAAGAGATTCAGAGCTTCATCCAGTCATTAAGTATTTCAGAAAAACTCGATTTTTTTAAAAATGCTTCAGATAAATTTGAAATTGAAAAGAATGGTTTTGTTACGTTAAAAACATCTATTGAACCATTAAATGCATCCACATGTATTGAAAACCATGAAAAATACATTAGTGTAGATTTTAAAACACAAGGAGCTTCAGAAGGAGACATAAATGTTTTACCATCATGTAGTCAGCTTCATATTTCCAGTCCGCTAACAAAAGATGAGGAAAATGGAAAAAATAATGCTGCTGCTGCAACACCTTTCATTTCATGTGAGCCTCTAAGAAGCTGTGTTTCATCAAAAGAAAACTTTGATCAAGGAAAGGGAATAAACACTGTGTCTTTCACAAATGTAGGTATTTCTAAGAACTCTATTTTTAAAAAAGAGAAACCTCAAATATATGATTCATCAAACTATAATAATCATAGTGTAACAGATAAACATGTGCTGCCAAATCTACAGGAACACAGTTCGAAGGTTACGGAAAGGGGGAAAATGCGAACAAATTTTCCTCCTTGTCTCACAGATGAAGTGAAACAAAATAAGTGTTCTGAAATAATAGATATTTCAAAAGACATAATATGGAATGGAAAGTCACTTAAAGATGAGCATGTGAATTGTTCAACAGCTGATGAAAATCCCAGTGACTCCATTGCTGTTAAAAAAAGTGTGAAAATTAATAGTTTTTCAGCAATAATAAAAGATAAAATTACTTCACATGATAAGGTTGATGAAAAACTTGTTTCTGTTAGGAACACTACTGTTTTAAAGCCTTGTAAAACATTATATACTTGGTCTGCTAAGCACTGTGATTTAAAAGAAAATATTACTTCCTCTTATCCAGTTCCATCCAGTTCAAGCAATTGTAAAAATGAGCCAGAACATGCAAAATCTCTTGAGACTCTACCATCTAATGAAGTTAAAAATAGCCTATATCCATGTGATATTTCCACTAGTGCAACTCATAAATCACAAGATGCATTATCTAATATTTCTCCTTCAATTATACCTGATTATCTGTCCGAGTCCAATCAAACGTTTTCTAATGTTTCAATTCCAGCTGTTGAAAAGAGAATTTCTCATCTTCAGAAACTTCCAGAACAGTCACCAACATTTCTAAAATACCCTAAAAGTGTTAATAAACTATCCATTTCCAGACCTTCGAAAGCAGCAAGAGGTCTGACGTCATCTACAGTCTCAAGCCAGTATAGTAACTGTCTAACAGATAATAACTTTAAAATTATAAAACCACAGTCTTTTTCGTTTGATGACGAATCCTATAATGAATATTGTTCGGAAATTCTTAACTCATTTCTTGGCCCACTTAATTCAGAGACAGGCAAGTCTGTGACCTCCAATACATTGAAAGGTGAAGAATTAGTAAATCATGATGTGTCGTTATGTGTAAAAGAGGTTGAAGAACTTGATAATTTCACATTAAATATATCTAAAGAAGAAAATATTTTTGCAAAGAGCTTCTTTCCAGCCTCTAATATACATAAACATGCAGATAAAGAATTGCAAGCAATAAATTTTTTCACTGTTGTTTTGGGAAAATATTCTTCCGGTCTTTCCCTTCAGATGTTATATATACATTTAAAAACTGCTTCCAGAGAGGTTATTGAGTACCTGAATAATTGCTATGAACATAATCTATTACATTTTTTCTGTGCAAATAAAAAACACTTTTATGTTTCTCCTATATCGCATAATGTTTATCTTAGGAAGTAAGCATCTTCTTATGCAGATGTAAATATCTGAATATGTAATTATAATAGCTGACATCTGTTTCATTATTTCTTTTAAAGCCCATGGGAAATTATCACTAATTCCAGGCTAAATATTAAAATGAATGAGAAGTGTATTTGTGTATATATACTATATATATTGTCATATATCTATTTACAAAAATTTTCCATTCTATTATTTTATTTTTCTTTAATTATGCATAAATATGTTTTATTCTGTCTAGATCTGAAGGGTTTTAGAACTGTACACTGCCCCCCCCCAAATGGGATAGTTCTATATCTCCCGTTCTACTAGGCCAGTTGACAAAATTCAAATTACGTTTTTCGTGTCTCAAAAGCGCGACTTAGGATATGTATTAGATTTATATATGGCATTGTTCTAACATAGGTATTTTGATACAAAATCGGACTTTTTCTGATGTAACATACCAATTTTTTTCTACGACACAAATTATGCCTAGATATTGAATTTTGTAAAATTTAATGTGGAATTTATGGAGAAATTCAAAAATTTATCTTGCCACAAATTTTTCAGTTTTCGCCAAAAATAATTCAGTTGGCGAACTTCTTAATATGTGGCAACCAATTTTCCTTTCTCTTCCATTATGCCGGAGTGGAAAAAACCTCGTTCTTGCCTTTTTACATTGTGCATGAGCGGGAAAAAAATCACATTGTTCTATTTCCAAATAATTTTAGAAAAGTGTCTAAACCACATTTGATGTTTTATCGCTTTCAACAAATATGCCAAATTTCAAAATGCACCAATATATAAATTCACGCACATCTTTGGAAATTTTGAATAAAAAAATGTAATTTTTTGCATGTATGATTAGAAATACGTCTAACTTAAGATGATGGTAAAAATATTACAGAGTATAATTCAAAAATTTTTTGGAAAAATTTATATAAAAATTATTTAAAAATACAAATTTTAAAAATAAATCATAAAAAAATGGGTGAATTTTATTTGGAATGAACCTAAATTTCGAAATGTGAAAGAAAGAATCAAACAAGTTTAATAAAGAAAGAGAGATTAATAAGTATATACCAAATACAATTAATATTGAGGAACTAAAATTTTGAGAGCTATTTTTTTAAAAACTAATCTTGCGATTTTTTACAAATCTTGGTTGTTTTGTGTAATTTGAGTCATAGAATCGAAATATGGATAAAAATTGGTATGTTATTTCAGAAAAAGCCTGATTTTGTGTTAAAGTACCTATATTAGAACAATGCAATGAACAAACTTAGGATATGTATAAATCTAATTATCCTAAGCCGCGCTTTTGAGACATGAAAAACGCAAGTTGAATTTTGTCAATCGGCCCAGTAGAACGGAAGATATAGAACTGTCCCCCCTTTCCCCCACAGTGTACCTTTAAATTATCAAGTTTGTTTATTGATTATTTTAATGCATTTTCACAAAACTATGATTAGGTTTATCTGTTAAGTTTGAGAAGTAATGATTTAAAGATTTTCTATTTTTTAATAAGTTGATCTATAGCAATGGTATTCAAACTATGGCTTGTGACCCCATTTCAGGTCGCATGATGGATAAAAATTTCAAAGAATTTGAAATGATGTTATATAACAATGGGCCGATGCTCTGCCTGGGGTCATTTGCATTATGGTAGTTGCACTGTGATAAAATTTGAATACCACTGATCTGTACCATTTTCTGTAATGGGAATAGTAGTTCTGTTTGCAGTATTTTGATTTCTGTATGAATTGTCTTGAGAAATGTTCTATTATATTTTTTTTCTATTTGTTGTTTTTATTATTTTCTACAGTTAGTGGCGTAGCTAGAGAGAGTGACATTTTATGTGTGAAACGATATTTTATGGATGTTACTGTTGTAGATTGTCAAAGCATGTAAAGAGAAAAGAGCTTCTGAATTGCATATCCAATTAAATTGAGGAAAATAAATAGTATTACTGGAGGTAAAGTATTCAAAGAAACATCATGAGATTTCAGTAGCTATATATCCTTGTTATATCATTTATTCCATTATAGCTTCTGAAAGAAAATTACTTTTAACTAAATTATCTTCTCAGCGACATTAATAATGAAGAATTCATTGTTAAGAGAGAAGTATTTAACCCTTTCCGGCACGCTACTCTTTAAAGTTGGAATTTTACCAAAAACATTTGTAGTCAGTCTATTTAGGCCTAGGAGAATATGCAGGTATAGTTTTACAAAGATTACACAAACCGTTTCTATTTTGTGAGTACACTGAGCCGCACAAGCTGCGATAGGTGAGCATTGCTGTGAAACATGTATTACAGTAAAATACTTTGATTTAAAAACAGTAGAATCTGATCTCTGTAAGCTGATTTAGCATAACCCAGGATGCACCACGGGGAGGTCTGCTACTCTACACCTCCAAAAAAAAAAAAAAAAAAAAAAAAAAGGGAAAACAAAAACGAAACTCTCATTGCTTCGGCAATGCTGAGGCCTCTATGAGCCATTTACACAATTTTAAAATTTATACGAAAAATAATTAAAATACTGTAATATTTACAATTAATTATTGACTAGAAAAAATAATTATTAAATATATATATACAAAAAAAAAATTCACAGAATTCAAAACTTAGCAAACTACGCACGATGAAAGCAAGAGAAAAAAATCTGATGTGTACATCACATGACTTCCTTGTATGGAATATTAAATTATATGCATTTTTTTCTTGCATTTCATTTAAATGTATTGGATTATAGTACTTTCTGTGCCCATCAAAATTTGTCTGAAAGGGAATTGGCTTGTATATTTGTTTTTATTGATATACTAGGAAGACAACACAAACTATGTGGAATTAATTCTTCTCACTATAAGGTCTAAATTTGGAATAAAAATACCAGTATTCCATGGATTCAGTCACTCAGTCACTAACAGTCTGGTGCACGAGTATTAAAATATATGTTATTAGGTTATTATTACAGAAACTGAGTATCATCATAAACACACTAACATATATACATGTAATATATTCAGGAGCAGGAAATTTTGATGACGTAGAAGTGCTGATCCATAATGACTAGGAAATTGAATTAAATCTTCAGTTTATTTTCAGCAACATATTGCGGCTACACACAATTCAAAGCAGCAGCAGACAGGCAGCAGTGTAGCTAGGCCAAAGTGTGGAAAGCAAGTGCGTTATTTTCAGGGTGAAATCTTATTCAGACTTGGTTTTGGTTCTCAATACATTTTGATTGGACAGTTAATATTGCTCTAAAATTACTATTGGCTTGTTGAGTTTTAATTTACATCTTCATAATTATGTAAGAATCATATAACATAGAATAGTCTCGAAATGACGCAGTGCAGAGAGTGGTTACTATTTTTAGAATAGAGAAGGGAAATTTAAGTTGCTAATTTAATCTTTTATATACTCTTTATTTTTTTTGCATGTTCCCTCCTTCAAGGAGAAAAAGGCGTAGCGACAGAGAAGTCTTTTTAATGAAAAAACATTAAAGCACTAGCAAATGAACAAAAACATAAGTCATAAAATTTTGATCCTGTAAAGTATAATTTATAAATACAGTCAAAAGTCGTTAATTCGGACACCCATAATCCGTTATGATCTATAATCCGGACCTCAAAGCTACAAACTTTCTGCGCATGCTCGCTTTGATGCACGCGGATAGGCGTTTACGCGTGCGCGTAAGACCTTTACGGCTGCAAATATATGTGTGCGCATGCGCGTTTAATGTATAACGGACGGTATAAGCTAAGTTAAAATTATCTAATTCAGTTAATGTTGCAGATTGCGTTGTTCCTTAATCTTCGAATTGGATCCGGCTTATTATTTTTTGCAGATTGTTAGAGTAATTTTATAAAAGTTAGCTTGAACTTTCGATTATGTCAAATAGAATTTCCGATATATATTTACTAATATGTACAGGATTTACAAAGCGAAAGTATGTTTCGAAATCCGAAATCTGTTTATCAATTTCACGCTCCTCTGCGGCGGGGGGAGGGGGGGAAACGCTGTGACGTGTAATGAATTGGAAGTTGATCTGTCAGCACTATCCTTATCTTCACGGCAGATGTTTTTATTTTATTTGGCTTATAATTCCTTACTAAATGTAGTATTTCATGTCGATGTACTCCGTCTTTGATATGATTTAAAGCAATTATAGGACTTGAACAGCGGAACTTTGTAACTGAACAAGAAATTATGTCTGTTTAATAGAATTAAAAAGAAAGTATTATCACATGAAACGAAGCAACTTAAACAACTTACATTGAAAGAAATGTTTAATAAAGTAAACAAATAAATATTAAGCTTTTTTTTGTAAATTTTGATACCCTTTAGATCATAATTGTTCTTTATTTCATAAATTACGGTTTCATATTTTTAATTTTGTAATTTCTGCATGTCATCTTACCAGATTTAAACTGATGATCTATAATCCGGAAAAATCGATAATCCGGAATCACCGAAGTCCCGACGAGTCCGGATTAACGACTTTTGACTGTATCAATTTTTTAAACTAAATTCTTAATTTTTAGAGTAATATTGAATTTTTCAGCATTTCAGTCCAAAAGTCTTTTTGTTTGAGAGTTCGCATAATCATAATTCTTCATTGAAGGTTCTTGTTATCACAGAATATCACAAAATAAACTTAATTGTAATCCATTTATCTTTTATCATCACAAAATAAACTTACATAATCATTGTTTTATAGTTAAATATAATGCACATAAATATTTGATACTAATTTCCATACTGATAAATTATATTTTAACACCATAAATATAATAGGAGTAACAGTTTCAGAAATTATGGTTTCACCATTATTATCTTTCATTTACAATTCCTGGTTTTACCAAACTTGAAGGCCTCGCAAAACTTCTAAACAAACATATCCGTCAGTAGGGCTGTCCTCGAGCTAACCAGTGTGTTCTTTGCACTGGTGGCCCAGGGTGCCTAAGCAGTTACTTGGAAAGGCCTCCGTTCCTTGCATAAGGTAGTCAGCCTTTGAGAACTGCACTAATGCATTCCACAATAAACAAAAAGTATAATAATATATATATATAAAATTGCACACATAAAATGAGAGCCTCTAACATTATCTTATATGAAGAGGGTAAAAGGAACAACTGTACAGA